CGCCAACCCTCCTGCAGCGCGGTGCCCCCTCGGCGCCAACCCTCCTGATTTCTCCTCTCTCCCGATCAAATATGTGAAGTATTTGATACAACATGCTCATCAGCGAAACTGAATCCCAGAGAACAAAAGTGTCTGTGGCAGGACTGGACGGAGAATGCCCAACTGAGAGGAAGCAGAGGGCAGCAAAAGGCTGCTCTGGGACTGGAGGACAACCCCCAGTGGGGATTCCCGCAAGACAACACGAAGACCATCGCAGTCCGTGACAGAAATCGGAGACCACTGTTTCCCAAACCTCATCCCATTCTGCACTCAGTCTGATCTCCACAGGAGAAACGGCTGCCCTGGAGCTCTCGACCCTAAACCCCCAGCAAATTTGGGAAACTGTCCCACACCCCGGAGGACAATTTCGTAATTTGGGGGGGGTCGCTGGGAGAGCTGCATGCCGGCCACGCGGCTCCCGAAGCAAGTGCCGTGCACTTCAAGCTCTGTAGTAATCGCTAGGACGGCAGAGAAAATGCTCCAGGGCACACCCTGAATAAACGCAACATTCCCATGGGAGTCGCGTGTGACCTCGAACGTAGGTAATGGACGAGGAGCGTCAGCAAAGACGCCAAACGCGTCACCAGGGAGGTCAAGTGAGCGCCGTACCCTGAGCCTCAGCCCCACCCACCCGCCTCAGCAAACATCAGCAGCCCTGAGCTCTGCGATCGGACTGTTCAGCCAACCCCACCCCGGAGTCACCCCCGAGCCTGAGGGACTGACGGTGAAGCTGGCAAATGGCTGCTTGATCATTTACAGCGGGAAGAACGGAAACATGTCCCTTCGCAAAACGTAGAATCCTGATGGGAGTTTCTGGAACACAGGGTCCCGGGGGTTTGGGGGAGGCGGAGTGGTGGGTTGTATTTAGGCACAAATCTAACGTAACAGGTGAAAAATAAAGAGGGTGAGCGAGTGGAGGAGGGAGACAGCGGAGTGGGGAAACGGGCTGGTTCAAGTGGGACGGGAGAGGAGGGTAGCTGGGAGCAAGAAAGGGAGATGCAGGGGGCGGATAGCGAGAAGCGAACACCAAGGGGGTAGGGGGGTCAGAAAAACAGCAGGGAGCAAGCACGGGGGGTGTAGGGGGCAGATAGCAAGGAGCAAACGCTGGAGGGGTGTTTAAAAAAAAAAGCGGGCGGTGAGTACGCTGAGGCAGAGGAGTGGGGGTGCGAGATCACACTCTAACATTATCTGCTGCCTATCCCCTCCCAGCAAACCTCAAAGCACACCCCCACCCCACCCCGCCCCTCTGACCTACCTCCACCAACCGCCCCCTCCGACTGGCTCCAGGCGCTGCCGATAGACTCTAGCCTCCGGGAGAACCGCTCCCTCCAGCGCGGCTCACTGTCCCGGGCCTCCAGGTCGGACTTGGAGGCGGTCAAGGTGCGGGTACTGCCGGGACCCAGCTCCAGCTGCCCCACGCCAGCCCCACTGTCCATACTCAGCACCCGGGCGTGGGTCTTGGCACCAGCGGGAGGCTCAGAGGGAGGCGGGGGAGCCAGAGCCGGGGCGGGCTCGGAATCAGTGCGAGCCGGGTTCCTCCGCCTGCCCTGCGGCCGCTTGGCGTCGGGGGAGGAGCAGGACTGCGAGGTGACGCTGGACGAGCTGGAGGAGCTGCTGTAGTTGGGCTGCGAGCGCAGGCTGGAAGCATGGCTCAGGTCGCTCTGGTCACTCGAGTCCTCGTCCTCAAAGAAGCCCTCGCTGTAGGCCTTGGCGCCAAGGGCCGTCCTGATCGGCGCGTAATCCCGCCGGTAATCGAAGCTGCCGGTGCTGCCTCCGTGCCTCCTGGTGCCCTTCCTCCTGCCGGAGCGCCGTGCCGGTCCCCGGCCCAGTAGGTTCAGCTCCTTGGGCCTCACCACCCTCTCCACCTGCAGCAGGGCATGCTGGGAAGGGTTGGCGAGGGCAAGTGTCCCAGGGGAAGGGGCGCTCAGCCAGGTGGTCAGGGGGTCGTCCCCTCCCCCAGTCAGGATCTCGCTGCCGGGGCTGATGAAGGGGAACCGTGAGATCCCCTCGGCCGAGGGGCCGGGATCTGGAGTGGCGACCACCTCGCTGTCGGAGAAGTTGTCCGTATCGCTGCCAGGCCTGGCGCCCGCGGCCTCGGGGTCCGGCTGCGGGGTGAGGGAGGGGCTTTCCAGGCGGGTGGAGCTGGTCTTCTCGCTCCTGTAGCTGCTGACGGTGCTCTGAGTCTCCCGGTCGGTGCCGCTGAAGCAGCTGTCGGTGGAACCGGCCGCCTTGGCGCCCATCGCCTCGAGACCCCCTCCCTCCGGCGGCGGCGGCTCCTCCTCCTCCCAGGTTCCGTCGCGTCCGCCGCCGCCGCCCTCCCTGCCAGGGCTGGCCCGTGCCGGGTCCAGCGCCTTCCCGGCCCGGTCTCCCGCCAGGCGGTCGCACAGCAAGGGGCCCAGCAGGGCATTGCACAGGCTCTCGGAGTCGCCGGGACGCCAGGCCCCGAGCTGGTCCAGCAGGCCGAGGGGCAACGGGTGCACCCGCAGGTCGGGCACTGCCAGGCCGCAGGGTGACGTGGACGAGGCAGGTCCCGGGTCTCGGCAAAGCATCGGCTGGACAGGTAGCGAGGATATTCTTTTGGCCGAAGGCTGTGCGTCCAGTTGGGCCATCTCTTGGGGCAGAGGGCCCTCGCTGGTCGCATGCAGCGTCGGTGGATCTGAAATGACAGACAATAAAAAAAAACACTGTCAGGCAGCAGTCGGCCTCCCTTACATGTCACAATCTACACCTCAAAGGCGCAAGCAATCCATTGCCATATTCATGGCCCACAGAGGAAGTGGAGGGGATTTTAAT